TCTCGTGGACTAGAGTGCTGAGGAGGATAATGTGACTAATGGATCAGCCCTGAGGTAGAGCTAGTGGACTTGGCTACTCTGTGTGATGAAAGCTATGGAAGAAACAGAGGACCAAGGGTGACCCTGAAGTTTTTTAACTGAAACTGCTAAATGTTGAAACTACTGAAGAAATAGAAAACTCTTAAGAAGAAATATTTTTGGAAGTGGGCATGGTAATCAGGAGTTATATAGGGTGTATTTACTTTGAAGTGCCCCTCAGCAGGTAAATGAAGATGTGAGTGTGAAATTTTAGAGGAAAGGGAGAGGATAGAGATAGAATTTGGGATCCATCGACACATAAGTGGAATTTAAAGCCATGAGATCCAATGACACTGTCAAGGGAAGTGAGTGTGAATTGAGACAAGGGTTTACTAATCTCTGGGATAGTCTCCCATTTAGAAATGGATAAGAAAAGGAGAATCTGACAGGGGTGAATGGGAAGAGCAGCCATTGTGTTAGAGCAAACTAGAATGGCAAGTATCTCAAAAGCCGAGGCAAAAAAATATTTCAAGGAAGAAAAAAATAACTATATCAAAGTAACATGCTGCTGGGAGGTTTAGGAAAGTGAGGACTGGAAATTGGTTCTTGAATTCAGCCCTTTAGGCGACTGTGTAGAACTACTGATGGCTGTGATGCACATAAAACCTGACTGCAGCGGGCTAAGGAAGGTGTGTGTGGTTAATGCATTGTAATGTACTCCAATGTGGCTAGAGATGCAGTTTGATTGGTAGGTTTGGTATTGAGAGAATGAGAAACTTCTCTTCTGATAGTCCTTGGCCAAACCAATCATGGATGCCGCACCAGAATGAATAAGAAGTCCTAACTCAGTCACTGTTCTGCTTTCATTCCCAAACTTGGGATATGTCATGCTCTGGGAGTATGTCCGGCCCCAACACTTAAAGGGGAAACATCTGTGTATCTGTCTTTTGGACCCCAGCATCACATGCTTCTTGTACATGTGATGTCACTGGTGGGGGCTGCTATCCTACTGACAGCAAGCCTCTGGTACTCTCACAACTTGCTCCTTACAGAGTCTCACTGGCCACAGGCTCAACATCAGTGACCCACCTTAGTCCCCTCCCCCGAGGCCGATAGGCTTAGCATCCAGTTGCAGTGTGTGTCATTGGGACATTACCTGAAATCCTTCCAAACTTGGAGTGGTGTCTTGTGAGTAGGATACGTATGCCTGTCCTTTCTGAAATAACGCGCATCCCCACCACTTCTCTCATCTCCTGACCCAAGCTTCAAGGGTCAGGAAAATCTCTGGTGCACCATGACTTTTGTCTTCTTTGCCAGTGAAATAATAATTGTTATTTTCCTGATCCCAAACCTCCTAAAGTCTTAGTGATATTAATTTTAACTCTGCTTTTCTATTCCTCATTTATCTTTAAAAATTGTCATCTGAGACACAGATTAATAAATGTAGGAGGGTGGTCTGGATGCTGGAAGAAGGAGCAGAGCCAACTTTGACATCCAGTTTTGCACTGTCCAAGATCTAAGGCTGCTTCTCCGGGGGAAAGAGTGCTATGTTTTTAAGAGCTGGCAATGTGTCCATTTACAATTTACATAAAAACAGATGGAAAGAAAGTAGGCCAAGGATGTTCCGTTCCTGTTAGGGTACTAAATCTTTAATATCTGTGCCTCATTGACCCAAATAGATGGAGAGTATGTGCTTCCACTTTCTTTCACCCTTCACGCTGCTGTCCATGCCTTCATTCCACACATCTGTGTGCAGCCTGGTGCCGGGTCCTGGGGAGTCCACTGTTTCAGGATCTCCTAGCTTTAAAAGGTCTTTCACCAAATTAGTGATATCATCAGAACTAGGATCTGAGACTAAGCCATGGGCCTTATCTTGCCTGAACATCTCTCTAGAAATACACTAGTTGGTAGCTTCTGCCTAATTGTACCTAATAGTTATCCCTCTGGCACAAAGACAGGAGTTTTTAAAACAGCCTTAGACCTAAAAAAAAAATGGAGAGTAATGAATTCTGTGCAATAGGGATACAGAGATAGTCAAACAAGAAAAAAATATTGATAACACAAAGAAATTATAAACTTCTAATTTAGGAGTTGAAATCCCAAAATGCGATATCTGATGATAAGGATCAGCAGTGTCTTTCATTTGGAGGCTAAGCCTGTTAAATTTGCCCTTGTGTTCTCAAGTCATCCTTGGTTTGTTCCTAAACACTGACTTTAACACATAAAAAACATATACTATAGTTAATAATATACTTAATATACTTAATAAACATATACTATAGTTAAAAGATTGGATTTTTAATAACTCTGGGCCTATTCAGGCTTTATTACTGTATATTCATACTCATAATTGGAAAAATAATAAAAATATATACCTATTTCTTATTTTCAGATAAGAGCTAATTAGTTATGGAATGAGTAGATAATTATAAACATGAATATAAATCCCTTTGATGCATGTAAATTAAAAATCTTGAAAAATTTAGATGGAACATTTCTTCTCCTCCTGTTTTATCATCTTTCATATTCTATTCTATTTCCCCTCGTGGAACTGCTGCTCAGAAACTTTTCCCTTCTGCAAACCCTATTTCTCAAATTCAGGTTATCTGGCTCTAATCTTTTTTCCTCCTAAGCTGTCTCCCCTTTGTTTTCCATTCATCCCTGCCCATTGCTCTTTCTCCCTCACCTCCCACTACCCCTCATATCCTGGCTCTTAGTTCAGAACTCAAGGCCAAAGCTTACAAAAGAGCTTTTGTCTTGACAGAAAAGGAGCAGATGCAGGAGGAGCAGGAAAAAGGAAAGACAGCTGAGTACCTTCACAAATAAATATGGTGGCTCTGTCATACTGTTATGGTTTGGATCTAGATGTCATGTGGTCACAGGCGAGGCTTTTTCAGAGATGGCTGAATCTAGAGTATGTGATGCTGGGATTAAGGGTGTGTGATTACTGAATCAGTACCCTGATTGGTTTGGTACTGGCCTACTCCCAGTAGCCGGGATATAATATAAGGGACAGAAAGAAGCTTGTCTTCTCTCTTGTTGCCTTTGCTACCTTCTTCGTGCTGTGAATGAACTGTTTCTCCTCTATGATGCCCCTCTGCCATGCCACCTGCCTTGGAGCCAGCCAACTATGGACTGAAACCTCTACAAACTGTGAGCTACATAAACTTTTCTCCTTTAACTTTGAGTGTTGGTTATTTTGTCTCAGCAATGAGAGAAAAGTAACTAAGACACATACAAGAAAAACTGTAATAAAAGATTCTAAGTGCTAAAGTTTGTCCACAGATGATAAGAAAGGAGAGGGACCCCTGTGCCTTGGGAAACAAGTAGATAGTACTAGTAACAGAATAAGCAATAAGAATTATCATTATGGCACCAATTATATATTGAGTGTTGCCTATATTCCAAGCACTGAATTGGGCACATTTTACATACTGTATTATTTCACTTACTTTTTGTAACAAATTTAGTGTGGATAGAGAAGAGCTTACTTTTATCTTCATTTAATAGAAGAAGAAGAAACTGAGGTTCTTAGTAGTTATGTAATTAGTTTCAGTGTCCATGATGAAGAAGTAGTAGAACTGGAATCTAAATCCAAGCTATCTGATTAATTTTATGTCTTTCTGCTAAGCAGCATTATTCCTGGAGAGGCACATTAGAACAGAGCTGATGTAGCTGAAAGTCAACATTATCAATCATGGCTGCTCAACATTCTTTTATGCCTTCTTTTGGTTGTTCCCTTGGGCCATTTCTTATACTCCATATCATAGGTCTGGACAAAAGAGAAGCATGTGCTTATTCCTGGCCTATCATAGTAACTTGTGCACATGATGCAATGTAGACCAATCAGAGTCATTTTTGTCTGAGACTTTTTATTTCCAGGTCCAGGAAGTAAAGTATGTTCTTTGCCTTGGAATCAAGAGGCTGGGAAGATATACACCTGCATTTGCTTTATTCTTCTTGCTCTCCTTCGTACCCCACCCATTATGCAAGGTAGAATGGCCATGAAAGGACTGAAGGAGGCCAATCCACTGGGAAACAAAAACAGAAGCATAACTTCAGGAGAATGTAGAGATAAAGAATAGGCAATCATTTTAGTCCTTAGGGCCATATTAATCTCTGGACTTCAAATGTCCTGAGCCAGACAATCTCTGCCTTTTACATATGCTCATTGAATTTGAGTTTGTACCATTTATACCCGAGTCAGAACAACTGGCATCCTTAGTGAATGAGAAGGACTGTGAAGGGAAGTGCAGTTGAGGAACTGGAAGGAAGAGAAGAGGGGAAGAGCTAGGAGAGCTCACTGCCATTTCAGAGAACGAGATGCTCTGTATAACATCAGTGAAGGCTGGTGAGGTGCTAGAGCAGGAGGCAATGGAGGATGGGAATTATAAGTTGAGGCTTCAGGGAAAATGTGCTGTTAATACTGGGTGTGTGAAAATCCGGGATAAGGTCAAGTACCGTCTAGAGGAGCCATGAATCTTGTTGCAATTTAGCAGTGAACCCAGACCTTATTAATCATAAAATGCTTGCCCTGTCTGCCTGTCTCCCTGCCTGCCTATCTATCTATCAATCTATCTATCTATCTATCTATCTATCTATCTATCTATCTATCTATCTACCTACCTACCTACCTACCTACCTACCTACCTACCTATCCACCTATCCATACCTTTAGGCCAGGCACACATAGTTTCCAGCAATCCCTAACACTTCTTATTTTCTCACATGTTGCCTACTTCCCTCATTTATGATATCTTTTGCCCCAAAAGAACTCTAGATACCACCCCTACTCTCTATCTTTCCAGTTCTTATCATTGCACTTTGTTGAAATTGAAATGTTTCTTCTCCCAGTCCTTTATATTACAATGTATGGTGTTTCTTTGCTAGGAAAGTCCTGTCATCCTCATGCTGAACCTTCATAGTTGTCATGCTCATTTGGACCCAGATGCCTCATTTTTGTCCCTCTGTCTTTTATCCAGCCTTGAAGAAATCTTCCTGAGACCCCAGATCCATCATGCACCTTGTATGGTTCCTTCGCAATGTCTTTCCTCATCTACCTGCCTTCCACTGATGGACTGTGAGTTGCTTTTGGAAGCTCAATTTTCCTATACTTAATTTCTATTTAAGGAAATTGCCAACATCTTTAGACAGAGATTGTTTCTTATAATTTTCCATATTTTTCTGTAGTGTTGAGGACTCTATGGAATCCCCAGTAGACTTACTGGTTCATGACCATAAGTCAATCTACTGTCTGTCAATTGATCTCAAGTGTATGTATGAAACATGGGGGAAAAATCCATTTTCTTTCATGTTATAGTGATTTAACATAATGTTCAGCCATAATGGTAGAATCAAATTTTGCCAAAAATTCAAAGTTTCATTTTTTAACATAAGATAGTTATTATAGTGAGCACTAGTCATTTTGCACTTGGATCCAGGTCCTACAGTCAGATTAATGGAATGTTCTCAGCTTCTAAGGATGCAAAAAGCCTTAAAGTTTTAGTCAAAGTGGACATAACTTTGATCCTGCCTTCTGTACTCTGAAAGTAATCTTTATACTCCGCTGTTTAAAGGGGGAAAATGTTTTGATCTAGTGGATACATCTTCCAAGGATTTCTATCTATTCTTTTTTGGGAAAAGCTTTAGAATCTATATAATTTTCAATTTCAATTATCTTTGAAATGAGAAAGAGCCTTAAGTATAACATCTCCCAAATGAAAGTGGAGACTGGTTCTGGGAAAGAATCGCTGCCTAAGCCATGTGCTCTCACTTTTTCCCTATTCATCCATAGTCTACTGAGTCTTGAGGTCCATCTTAAAACATTCTCTAAAGAGTCTCTGCAGCCATGACACTATCTATAAAGTGAATTAATTACCATGACCACATCTGTCAACAGGTCCAGGGACACATGTTGATAAGTTAATTCACATCGTGTTAACAGTGGCCCTAATGGTTGCCTCCACTCAGTGGGTACATTTACACTCTAAATGGCAGCGTGCCTCCAGAGGAATTGTATGTTATAATTTCAGGCACCATTGTCCTTGCGTGCAGAAGATATTAATTACCAAAAAAGCCTTCCTGTTGCTTTCTTAGAAGCACATAGTAGATCGCTACTTCACAGAGCATTATTCAAGAAGCTATTCACAGGGCACCATAGGGATGGCAGCAAAGCAGGAAGGGCTTTGCCTTTGTGAAACTATCTTGTCACCATCCTCAGATCCATGCAAGTTTACACAGACTCCAGACTCCTGAATGCAGGAATAGGAGGACAACTGCCATCTCTAGACATCTGCAGACTCCTGCCAAGAAGAAGTGAAGCTGGCTGCTTCTAAATCTTTAACAAGTTTTTTACCTTAAAACATTTGCTTCCACACTCCAGTTACTTTAACAAGGACTATCATTTCACACACTGGTGTCCCAGCAATGTGATAGGGTTCGTACTGCATGTAGATGGAAAGAGCTCACAGCTCCTAAGTCCATAATGGGTCCTGGAATTAAAACATTTGCTTCACCAGTCTAGTGATTGTGGTTCCCACCGTCAGTTCACACTCTTATCTTGGAAATGCTATGGTCTTTGTTGTGCTATACCAAAAATCTGCTCTGAGATCCAATCTACACTCCATCTAATTGGATGTGAATGAGATGGGCATGTACTTTCACTAATAGTTGACTTATAATGGACTTTTTAAAACACTGCATGACTGCATCCCCGAAAAGCCCTCTGGGGCTCTTACAGTACTGGCTTACCCTATTCTCCTGTATACTCTGAGGTCAAGTGAACAATTTGTACAGAATGCTTTAGAAGGTATTGTGGAAATTAATATACTTCCCAAAGACTGGGATAAGGAATGTTTATTTCGGGAGGAACAATCATTCATAATCTGATATCTGTCTATAGATAAGTGACTGCCTACACCTTTCACATAATAACAGCTTATGTTGCCTGAATTTCTACTTCACACCACTCATGTCATATTTATTCCCCCCCAACAAACTGAGGAAGCTTTTAAAGTGATAAGATCCTAAGTCTATCCAGTTCATAAGGCCATTCCTTTAAAAATGAGGTGAAATACAGGGTTGAATCAAAAGTTTCTTTCTGATCTATTATTTACCAGCAGCTGTTTATGTTGTTTTAAAGGACCAATTTCCTCCAGAATAAAATAATCTAAAAGGTAATCATTCTTAAAGGAGAAAATGCCACTTAAATTCTTGTAGAGCAAATGAGATCCATTTCATTCTGTCAGACAACTTGATTTTACTCCTAGTTGACTGCATCATCTTGGGCATGTGATGTAACCTTCAAAAATAAAGTTTAGTTAGCCATAGTTCCCTCTCTTAAAAAGGTAAATACATTGTAATAAATGATATTTAAATTTGATTCAAACTCCATGCAATTTTGCAATTTTTTTTTTGTATCGGAGATTGAACTCGGGACCTTGAGCTCTCAAGGCAGGTGACAGAACCGCTGAGCTAAATCCCCAGCCCTAGTTTTGCAATTATGAAGTACTTTCAGTTTATTTTTTACGGCATACTTTTCAATTCATAGATCCATAAGAGTAGACATTTGAAAGACAGACATTGTGTTGAATTTGGCCTAATTTGTCACATTCTATGAGAGGTTTCCCTTCCCCATCTTGCTTCACTGGCGTAGAATCTGTGTTCTTGATGCTGAGAGGCCTCTCAGCCCTAAGGTTTCATGTAATGGAGGCCACGTGATCCGGTCTCTGCTTTAGGACCCAATTTTTGTTGTCTTCGTCTTCAGTCAATATTTCAGCTCCCAGGTAGGTGGCTCCTTTCACAATGGTCTGACCTCAGGAAGTGCCATGTATAATTTCTGTCAGTTCTCTCACTCTGTTTAATTCATATTAGCCTCAAATGTACAGATTAAACTCACATCTCCTGTCTTGGGGCCCTTGCATTTGATATTCTTCTTGCCTGAAAGGATCTCTCCAGGTATGTGCAAGTATTACTTCTCTCAGGTCTTCAATATCTCTTGGAGGCCTAGTCTGGCTACCACACCTAAAATATGGAACTGTCTCTTTCCTGCCCTCTAGAAGACTTCTGTTCCTTCCTTTACTGTTTTTACACTATGCTAGGCAGTGTGTGTGTGTAATTCTCCTGTATTACCACTACATATTTTAGATAGATTGTTATCACCTATCTTCCTCAATATGCAGAAAGTTCCATGAGGCATGGATTTTCATCTGTTTCTTTACTATTTTGACTGTAGTACTCACAGCAATGCTTAATACATTGTAAATGTTCGGTAAATATTTTTAAATGCAACATTCAGGACATAGTGGCTATAGAGCCTGATTGTCCCTTAAAAATTACCTTGCTTGGGCCAGGGATTTAGCTCAGTTGTTCTGCTGCCTGCCTTGCAAGCTCAAGGTCCCGAGTTCGATCCCCGGTACCAAAAAAAAAAAAATTACCTTGCTACTTTAATGCACCCTAAATCAAAATAAGAACTGAGGAACAATTGATATCCTCCCAATATTATAAATACTATGTGAATAAAAGAATCTTTAGTAAACCTTACTGGTTTTACTCACACTTTACTTTGAACATAAAAACAACTGAAACTTTAGTCAACTTTCCACTACTATGACAAAATATCTCAGAAAATTAACTGAAATGGAAGAAAAGCTTGTTATAGCCCACAGTTTCAAAGGTTTTAGTCCATGGTCACGTAACTGTGTTGCTTTGGGCCGATGGAAGCACAGAACATCATGATGGAGCATGTGATAGAGGAGCTGCTTACCTCATGGTGGCCAGGCAGCAAAAGAGGAATAGGAAGAAGTTGGGTACTGATGTCTGCCCCAATAACCTGTCTTCTTCCAATTAGCCCCTCTCTTAAAGGTACCACTACCTCACAATAGCGTCACTGTGGGTACCAAGCCTTTAATATATGACTTTGGGAGAAATTCCTGATCCAACCTATAGCATTATCCTTATAAGATAAGCAAGATTGATGACAAGTTCTCTAGCCCCCCTTTCCAAACAGACTGCAGCCATTATATTCTTTTCCATAGTAATTCTCGGGCTGTTGCTGTGAAATATATTGGTTTCTTATTTGTACTTATTCTTGGGAGGAAATTCAGAGTGAAACCCTGCTCTTCCCCCTATAATACTATTTGTGGAGTAAAATAGTGTATGGAATGAAATTTCTTTTATGTGGGAAATTTATTGAAAGTACTAAATCAAAGCAAAACTCTTACCCTTTATTTTCTTCATTTGACTCTTGCAAGTTTTTTGCAAGGTCGTCTCTAGCTAACTTTGAGAGTGTATCTCTATTCTCAGACCACTGAGTGCTCGACATTCAATATAAAATGCTCTTTGTGAACTTCTCGCAGTGTGAGCTCCAAATCATACTTGTTCCAAGTGAGAAATTATCTTTTGAAAAATGAAAGATAAGAGACCTATGGGTTTTATAAATTTTTGAAGAGTTTTAGGTAGCTAATAAAAAAATACATCATACTTGTCCTTGGTAGTAAGAGTAAGTCCCCTTCCTCAATTAAAGTATAAAATAAGAATTACTACAAATATTAAACCAAAATTTAAGAATAAAGTGGCCATTACATTTTCTAACACAATCATTGGAGTTCTATAGATATGTGTGTATTACTCTGCTAATTTTACAGGGTAATATGTAAAAATCTGCCCCCCTAACTGATATATTTCACGTATTTGACCTAATATAGAGTAAATAGGTCTATTACAAGGGCATTTTCTGCTTTTTAAATGAGTCCAAAATCTTTGTAGTTTAATATAGTACACATTTCTTCTTTGCTCATATCACTCACTGTTCAGTGTAGTCAGCAAGAGAGGAAGGGAGGGGCTCTGCAGTATAAAGTTATTCAGGGACCCAGCTCTCCTTCCCTGTGACAGAGCCATATTAAATAGGTAGCTCCAAAGTCACTAAAGAAGGTGATGAGGGAAGAGAATCAGGCAGAGGAGTGTTTTATGGTTCATACCTAGAAAAAGCAAAGGTTTCACTGGCCAGAACATACTTCTGTGGCTCCACCTGCTTGTTAAATGTTGGGAAGAATCTGGGCCATCAATTCAAACAGAAGGACA